ATCATATAGAATTCCTACAGAAATGTGGGTTTAGACTGTTTTCTATAGATCTGTGTGTTCTAGAATGTTTGTAATTATTATGTCTTATAGTATCTTTGATATTTGGTGAATACTGTTTTTGTTGAAAGAATTCTCTTCCATTTTTTGCATATTTTCTGTTTTGGCTTGGCAAGCTCTTTGAAAAATACTATTTGGGTTTTGATTAGCATAGTTTAGAGTTGTTTTCAATAATAACATACTCATCTTGTCAGATTATCTTGAAGCATTGAGAGATTTGAGGGATTGAAGGGAAGAGTTTGTCTCCTTAAAGCTGGTTTTAATGTCTTGCTGCTTTTCTAAGAGGAAATGATGTATTGTAACAAGGTAATGTCTTTATTTTCCTGGTAGTCTAATAGCTTAGACTAAGCAAAATGTGAAGTCAGTAGCTTGATCACCTATCAGACTTTCTTTTAAGCTTTTCTTGTTCCTGTCCCATTTTTTAAGGCATATCTGTTAATGATATACTCACTAACCAGTCCACAGTGCACCACAACTATCTGTTTATATGGCTAATAAGCCATAAATACCAGATACAAGTTAACACGACTCCTGGATTATTTTTCATTATGTTACTGCCAGAACTTCGGGCATTGTAGATGGTAATGTGCTGCATTATTCCTATTATTCAAGATATAAAGAAAATAAATCAAAAATTACATTTGGTAATGATTATTCCAATACAACTTTCTAAATATTAAGTAGAGAAAACCATTTAAAGAAGGCAAAGTGAAATCCATTATAGATCAGTTGATCTTTTTTCCAAAATTTCTAATGTGCAACCTTTTTAAGGAAACACAAAAAACAACTTTTGTTTTTTCACCTGCACAGTGTATGCAAATAATTTGACCACTACATAGAATTTTTATGTTAAAATAAGATTATTTAATTTTTTTAATTTAAAAATTTTTTTTTCTTTTTTTTTTTTTGCGAGAGAGTTACATACATGCATAAGCCAGAAGTGGGTAGAGGAAGAGAGAGAATCCTAATCAGGCTCCATGTCCAGTGTAGAGCCCGACAGTGGGGCTCAATCTCACGACCCTGAGATTATGACCTGAACTGGACATTTAACTGACTGAGCCACCCAGGTGCCCCAGAGGGAAATTATTTAATTGAAATAGAAGTGTTAGCAAATTGGGAAGACTAAATATATAGAACACTATATATTTAAAGTACTATAATTATTATATCATTGAGGGAATCTGGGTAAACTTACTGGTTCAAAACAATTTGTGGGGTCAATTTTTTTGTTTGCAGATTTGGTCTTTTTGAAGCCATGTCTGCCATTGAAATGATGGATCCCAAGATGGATGCTGGCATGATTGGAAACCAAGTTAATCGAAAAGTTCTCAATTTTGAACAAGCTATCAAGGTAAATACCATTGTGCTTTTTGTTTTATCATTTGTTATTCCACATGTTAAAACAGTGCCCATCAAACTTGGCATATTAAAATACAATTTTTTTTACAAGCATCTCAGGTACATAAACAAAACTTAGTTACAAGCTTTAGTTATCTTTTTTTTTGAAGTCTGTAAAGTGTTCAAAGGTCTTCATTACAAGCTGGCACTAAATTTGTGTGTGTGTTTACTACTTTTTTAAAGCATTTCAGTATATATTCAAATACCAGGGTAGTTGGTTAAGCCATTAAGTTTTATATATATTTTTTTTTTTTAATTTTTTTTTTTCAACGTTTATTTATTTTTGGGACAGAGAGAGACAGAGCATGAACGGGGGAGGGGCAGAGAGAGAGGGAGACACAGAATCCGAAACAGGCTCCAGGCTCCGAGCCATCAGCCCAGAGCCTGACGCGGGGCTCGAACTCCCGGACCGCGAGATCGTGACCTGGCTGAAGTCGGACGCTCAACCGACTGCACCACCCAGGCGCCCCAAGTTTTATATATTAACACACTAAGCAGAATGCTTGTGGTTGTGAATTTGAAATTCATTCTGTGAGGATTGACTTAGAAATTCATTCACAGTTGCCACCGAGTTTAATTTTGCATATTTTATGAAGAAAGATTTGCTAAATAAATGGATATTTAAATAAAATTTACAAGTAGTAAAATTAATCACCTTGAAGGGTTTTTAAAAATTTTTTTTTATTTTTATTTTTGAGAGAGAGAGCGAGCAGAAGTCGGGGAGGGGCAGAGAGAGAGGGAGACACATAATCCGAAGCAGGCTCCACGCTCTGAGCTGTCTGCACAGAGCCCAATGTGGGGCTTGAACGCATGAACCGTGAGACCATGACCTTAGCTAAAGTCGGATGCTCAACCAACTGAGCCACCCAGGCACCCCAAGGGAAGGGTTTTTAAAAATGTTTACTTTTCTAAGTACTTTTGATCCGTTAAAATGATTCATATTTATTAATGCTTAAAACTAATTTGAACTGTGTTTTTAAATACTTGTTTAACTTTTTGTTTATAAAGGCCTTTATTCTTTTCAAATTAAGAGGCTTTGATTTTTTTGTATTGAAGATCTATTTAAGATATATTTCAAGAATACAGAGTTAATTTGGCATTTTAGTTTTTATCAGATGATGATATAGTTCTAGAATTATTATTTTTTAAGTATTTAATTTTTGGAGGCCAAAATGCTACTGGACATAGAAACTATAACTTTTATAAAAACTTCTCATATGTCTTATTTCTCCTCTTTTAGGATGGCACCATTAAAATTAAAGACCTCACCTTGCCTGAATTGATAGGAATAATGGATACTTGTTTTTGCTGTTTGGTAAGAGTACACTTGGTTAATCTAAAAACTGTGACTTCCTAGAAAGTTCCCTCTGGTTGGGAGAATTGAATTAGAGAAGAGAGGTAGGAAAACCATTGTGCAGTTTCTTGCAGTAATCTAGGGGAGGTGTGATGCTCTTGACTAAGTTAATAGTAGTGAGGATGAAAAAGGAGAGTTAAAGGAGTGGCTAAGCACCTGGTTAGTTCTAAAATTGTGAATTCCCTACTTAATGGATTTTTATTGACTCCACTGTGGAATTGATTGCTTTTAGATTCTATGTAAGGTGGCATTCTAATTCCATTAGTCTCCAAATGTATTGCACACTGAATTCTGTATAAGCATGTTTCCCTTAGATAGCTAATCATATTTACGGTGTATGATTTTTGAAAGACTTTAGTCAGTGAAAGTGAATTGTAATTCTTCTGTCTTTTCTTAGCTTCCTTTTAATCATCTTTGAAATCCTGTGGTTAATTATATATTTATTTGGGTCTGTGGCTTTCTAGCCCTTGACTGTCGGATCTATTTAGACTTTGCAGACCCTCTGTGTCATCTTAAACATATACATTCTTTTACTTCTTTATAGATAACCTGGCTAGAAGGCCATTCCTTGGCACAGACAGTATTCACGTGCCTTTACATTCATAATCCAGACTTTATAGAAGATCCTGCCATGAAAGCTTTTGCTCTGGGAATTCTGAAAATCTGTGACATTGCAAGGGAAAAAGTAAATAAAGCTGCTGTTTTTGAAGAGGTAAGATTTTGTAATATAAGAATTCCTGAAACTCATTGACCACTTTATTTATTGTGATGTATTTAAATGATTATATGATACATGTTTTTATTGATACATGTAGTTAAAAACAGTTTTTAAAAGTGATGCTATGCTGTTTACAGATATATTGACTGAAATGATCCAGTTCTAAGAAAAAACTTTCATCTTAGTGTATGTTCGTTCTGTTGGTACCATTTGTTGAGTATCCATTATGTGCTGAGAGAGTACTTTGTTCTGAATATTATGGGGATTCACAAAGACTATGAAGACACAGCCTCAAGTCTCTTAAAAATTATAACACAGAAGTGTTGTACTTTCAGTTTTTGGATAATAGGGAGCTAAGGAAAACAAAGGTATGAAAAATATTTCAGGATATAAATATTTTCTTCCAGTTTATACTAAGTACCTTGCCCTTAGGAAGTGTTTTAAGTTTTAGACATAGAAAGATTTTTTTTCTCCTTATGAGAAATTTTATGGAGAAATGTGATAGTATTTAAAATTATTGATAAGTAATTATTTTTTTAATTCTTCCTTTTGTTGAAACTTATGTTTCTTTTTAACACTGTTACTAATCCAAAATAAATATTTTAGTCTCCTACAGTGGTTCAGTGTATACAATGTATAGCTTTTCTAAATTTATATATGTGAGAATAATTAAATATATAGCTAATATGATCACATTTAAATATATGGCTTGTGAGTTGTCTATGAAATACCGCCTATTTTTATACACTTATTTGTTACTTAACTACCTATTTTAATTGCTGTGGGTATCATTATGGAATATCTTACACATTTGAGTGAAAATTTTAAAAAGATTAAGTTAATGAGAAGAGATACACAAATTATTAAATACTTACATTCTCAACGTATGCCCAAAAGGACATCAAAAATCCTAGTCCTAGGGCAGAGAAAGGATTCATTTAGCAAATAGTACTCGGACAGTTGGTTAGCACCCTTGAGAATTAACTTATCATCATTTTATATCTGCCTTAATCTTTTGGGTTGTTGTAACAACAGAAGTTTATTTCTCATATTTCTGGAGGCTAAGAAGTCCACAATCAAGGCACCAGCGGCTTCAGTGTCTGGTGAAGGCCTGACTACTGGTTCATAGTTGGCCATCTTTTCACTGTGTCCTCACATTGCAGAAAGTGTAAGGGAGATCTCTGGGATCTCTTTTACAAGGGCACTGGTCCCATTCATAGGGCTCTACTCTCATGGCCTGATCATCTCTCAGAAGGCGCCCTACCACCAGATACCATCACATTGGGTGTTAGGACTTAACAGGAATTTTGGAGGGACACAAACATTCAGTCTATAACAACATCAAAATAAATTGCAGATCAATGAAATATTTTAAGTGTAAAAAGTTGTTAAAAGTCAGAAAATAGTTTACAGAAAATAAAATGGCCTTTAAACATGAGAAAAGATACATAAGAGAAATGTAGATTAAAACTGAGGTGCCTTTTTTTACCCATTATTGGCAAAGATTAGAAATTTCTTATACTATGTCGATGAGGGTGAGAAACAGGTACTCTCGTGCTGTGTGTGTGAGAGAGAGATGAACAGTCATCATTTCTCTCTTTTTAATCTTTTTTTAAGAAAACCTTTTTATTTGGAAATAATTTCAAATTATCAGAAGTTATAGTAACCACAGAAAGAACACCATATATCTCTCACCTTGATTCAGCTGCTATTAATGAATTATTCCAATTGAATTACTTCTTCAGTTTCTGTTGTGTATGCATATACATGTTTATGTATTTTTTTCCCCGAACCGTTGGAGACTAAGTTGCATACATTTTGAAGTTCTCCCTCCAAACATCTGTCAGTGTGCATCTCCTAAGAAAGAAGCACTTTCATACACAGCTACAGCACAGTTATCAACTTCAGTGAATCTGTGATAACAGTCCCTTCTCTGTATTCTGTTCCTGTCAGGTGACCCAGCATTGTCCTTCTTTGCATTTTTACCCTATACTACGGGTTCCAGTCTAGGATCATGTCCTGCATTTGGTTGCCTATCTTTTTAGTCTCTTTAATCCACAGAAGTTCCTCAGCCTTTTTTTTTGTCTCCATACCATGGATAATTTTGGAGAACACAGGCCTCTCCTGGTTTGCCTTTTTTCATGGAATGTTCCTCACTTAGGATTTGTGTGTTTTTCCTCGTGATTACATTTAGATTAAGCAATCCTGGCTGGAATACAACAAAAGTAATATTGTGTCTTCCTTCCGGTGCCACAGCTGAGGCATACAGTGTCCATCGGCCCCCTCAGTGGTGATGTTATTTTGTTCCAAGGTGTTTTGCGATTACTGTATGGTTAGTTTTTAGCCTGGCATATAATAAGCAATCTGTAGGGAAGCTCTTTAAGATCCTGGAAATATCCTGCTCATTAAAACCTATCCCCTAGATTTAGCATCCATCAATATTTGCTTGGTTTAATCTTCACTGTAAAATGATGATTTTCTAAGTTTAGCATGCCCTCCACATTTGTTAGTAAGGACTCAGGTTTCCAGTGTAAGCAAGACTCATATGTTTTTATGGTATCATAAATTCACACAACTGTTTTAAAGAACAATTAGTAATATTAATATAAGTTAAAATGTGTATGACTTATCTCCGCAGTTTCACTTTTAAGAATTCTACAAATAGATCTGTGCTGTGCACAAAGACTTGTATGCAAGGACATTAATTGTAGTTTTGTTTGTAGTAACTAAGGTCTAGAAACTGTCTTAATGTCCATCAACAGGAGACTCATTAAGTGATGCTACCTTCATACAGTTGGGTATTGTGCCCCCTTTACAAAGGAGGTAGCTTTATGTATACAAATAAGATTAGGTCTCCAAAATAAAGTAAAATAAGTCAGGTGTAGAAAAGTATGTAGTAGGTTACTACCATTTTATTTTCTTTTTTTTTAAATGGGAGGTATTTATCTTCATAAATAAGATAATTGGAAGATTTTATTTAAGTTTATTTTGAGAGGGAGAGAGAGAACGCAAGTGAGGAAGGGATGGAGACAGAATCCCAAGTAGGCTCCACGCTATTAGCATGGAACCCAATGTGGGGCTCAAACCCACGAACTGTGAGATCACGATCTGAGGCAAAGTCGGACACTTAACCGACTGAGCCACCCAGGCACTCCAAGATAACTGGAATCTTGAGGATTGGGATATATACTTTTTTGTGCTGTTGGAATTTTTATTATGTGCCTGGATAAATTTGTTTTAAAATAAATGAAAATGGGGCAGCTGGGTGGCTCAGTCAGTTAAGCGTCCAACTCTTGATTTTAGCTCAGGTCATGATCTCGCAGTTAGGGAGTTTGAGCCCTACATTGGGCTCTGTGCTGCTGGTGTGAAGCCTGCTTGGGATTCTCTTTCTACCTCTCTCTGTCCCTTCCCTGTGCTCTCTCTCTTTCAAAATAAATAGAAAACTTTAAAATAAATGAAAATAAATTTTTTGTAATATAAATTGAAATTCTGCATATCCTCTGGATGAAGGACTTACAAATGGGAGAAATTGTAAAGGAAAAGACCAATAGGAAAAAGCTGATAAAAAATTTTTTAGAAAAATCTGGATAACAAAAATAACCAAATATTTCTTTATTAGGCTCTCATTCAAATAAAGCATAACACTGAAGCCCAGATGAATAAATGGGCAGTAAAATAAACAACTTACTCTTGGAGGAAGGTAATAAATTGCCATCATATTTTTAAAATTTAGCCTTATGTAATCCAAGAAATACAATTAAAATAAAAAGTAATTAGGGGCGCCTGGGTGGCGCAGTCGGTTAAGCGTCCGACTTCAGCCAGGTCACGATCTCGCGGTCCGTGAGTTCGAGCCCCGCGTCGGGCTCTGGGCTGATGGCTCAGAGCCTGGAGCCTGTTTCCGATTCTGTGTCTCCCTCTCTCTCTGCCCCTCGCCCGTTCATGCTCTCTCTCTGTCCCAAAAATAAATAAACGTTGAAAAAAAAATTAAAAAAAAAATAAAATAAAAAGTAATTAGATCATTTTTCATCTACTAAATATATTTATAAATGAGACCATTCAGTATTGGTAAGGATACAGTGAGTTGTCATTTTGGTTTTTATTATAGTGGGAGTGTGCATTAGCACAGGTGAAATTAATTCATCTCTAGAACTCAGCCTTAAATGATTAGAAGCATGGACACTTCATGCCCAATACTTGAATAAGTTTTCAATAGTGATAAGTTTTCTTTTTTTAAAATTTTTTTTTTTCGACGTTTATT